ACATTATGAAATTATTTTACGATATTGTTGATTACAATGATAGTTTGTGTAATAGAATCGCAATCATACACTTGAGGCCGTACACTCCAGTACAGGCGTACGGACCTCGGCGCAAGCGCCTCGGTCCTGCCGCAGTACTGTCGTACCAATAATGACGTTCAAGAACGGCCTCTCGTGTATGATTGGTTAAATCACTAACTTTGTTTCCCCCGGCCCCTTATTGGAGAACACCCAGCTAGTAACCTAGCAACCAAGCTTCAGCTTGCGGCAGTCAGAAACTCATGTATCTTCGAATCTACTTACAAATTAATATGGGGAAGTGTCAGTTCAACCGTATTTGGTTGGAAAACATCTAATTTAGTGCTTGGTTGAAACCAGTGGAGGGGAACGTGTTTGAAGCCCGCCGCACCATTTGCAAAAGAAATAAGCGTTTGTTTTGCAAATGTAGCGTTAGCTAGTGGAGCGTTAGCTAGTGCAGCAGCTCCCGCAACAACACCGGGGGACCTACGGGCGACGTTTGGGTCTACGTCAACCCTAAAAGCGGAGGTGCTGTAGACGCTAAATACCGTAGCTAAACACCAATCATACAACGGCAACGATGAAATAGTGTAGCCAATTTAATTTAAGGGGTAATTTCTCAAAATGTTCCCCGTGTGGTTTATTCACCATTACAATAGCCCCGTCTAAAATAATTTCCACCAGCCGCCACTGCATGCAACCCTGTAGAACCGCCACTGCATGCCACCCTGTAGAACCGCCACTGGCCCCCAGTTGATCGGGAAACCAGTTCAGTTAACGGGAAACCAGTTAATCCGGAACACCTGTTCCGGATTAACTGGTTTCCCCGTTAACTGTCCCTGGTCACGTGATTTATGTTACAGTACTCTGCTACTAATCTACACAATATTACATTAAATTGGCTTAACTTTGACAAACTATCCCACATTTATCCCATTTATCCCACATTTTAGTGGCAGAACTTCCATATTTCTACTAAAGTCCTTTTTATGATATAAATTCAGAACTTTAACTGGTTGTGGAGAGTTTTAAGGCCGTGTCATACTTTCACTAAGGTAATGGTAGGCTTCTACCTCCACCTGCTCCTCTCAGCTGTCACAAAGGGGCGGCACCTGGACGGCTGAGCGAATAAAAGCGGGACGATGACAGCCCTCCGTAGTTTGCACTGAGAGAAGAAGAGGAGCTGCGTGAAGGTAAGACACCCTGCTGATCCGGTCAATTCGATTCAGCTGCGGACAAAAAAAAAGCCGTAACTGTGCAAAAACTTGCGAAATTCAGGGTCTGAAGTTGTGTTAGTATATTTATTTTGAATGCTGAATCAGAAGTAATTTAAAAAATATATAATATTGAAAAAGTGCACGTAATTTGCGACTTTGTGTATTTTTTTATTTAAAACAATTAAAGTTTAATTGGAGTGTGTAGCTTTAAGCTTGGTGTGTCAATTTGGAACCCACTAAAATTATCTGAACTGTGTGATTTTAGTTTGTTTTATTTCACTGTACAGCACCTTGGTCTGGAGGTTTTAAAGTGCTTCATAAATAAAGCTGTATGAAGTAATTCTGATATTTGCATGACTTTATGTGCGTTTTATCCTCGGGTATTTAACGTTGTTTCCCCCCCAGATGAACTGGCTTTTATCCCTCGCTGCTGTATGCGTCCTCGTCCCCAGCGTCCACTGTGCCACAGGGACAGGTTTTTAAACTTTTTTTATTATTGAATCTTTATCGACTTTTTTGGATAAACCTTGAGTCCTTGCTTAGGTTGCTTGACATTATTTGGATTTGTTTCCCCCCCCCTATAGGCTGGTGTTACCATGATGCAAGTTGCAGTAAGTAATTTCACTTTTTATCCCCACTTGAACACAACACCGTATTCACCTCAGCTACTAAACATCTCGTTCCTGTTTGTAGGTGACACAAAATGGCCCACCCTCTTTCCTTCTTATTGCGCTGGGAGTCGACAGTCACCGATTAACATCGTCCCAGCATCTGCCACAGCTGACTCCAACCTCACTGCATTTACATTCCTCAACTACAACAGCGACTCTGCCCTGAAAAAGATCGAAAACACTGGAAGGACAGGTGGAGTGAGGGCGCGTAAATCACTTAAGTGGGGTGCATTAATTATATTTGCTAGAGTAAGGGATGGCGTGCTGGATCAAATGTAATGGGAAAAATCAACAATACAGCATATAGAGAGTCTGCCTTCTATCTGTGGAAATGTGACGGAAAGAGGTGCAGCCAGGATTCTTAACGCTAGTTATGATGCTTTAATTGTAGTCTATGATGTCCTATTTCTATCCTACACATAAGCTACTGTAATATGTATTTACTTATTTTGCTCTAGTATATTGGTCTTTTATTGAACATTCTAACTTATCAAGAACATGTACTGTATATTCTTTGTGATAAATGTATTTTGAAGATATGTATAGAATTGCTTTTTAGAATGTTCTATTTAACAGGGACAGTGCACATTAATCAATATTTCTGTAAATGTGCCAGAGTTGACCAAGAGGCTATTTTTCATCTGTATTCATTATGATGTTTTTTTTTTTGTGTCCATTCTGCTCTTCCCCCCTCCATCAGTCAAAGTCACCCTCGCCAGCGGGATTAAGATTTCCGGAGGGGGTCTGCCCGATCCCTACGACAGCCTGCAGTTCCACTTGCACTGGGGAAATGGCTCCTCTGTCCCCGGCTCTGAGCACACTGTGGACGGCAAAAGATATCCCATGGAGGTAATGCACAGTCTTTGTTTTGTGATAAGCTATCAGCTAGAAATGTTCTGTTAAAGTCACATTAAATTCTCTCTCTCTCTCTCTCTCTCTCTCTCAGTTACACATTGTCAACAGCAAAGCAACCTATAATGGTGACACAGCTCTAGCTGTGAAAGACTCAACAGGACTTGCTGCTCTTGGATTCTTCATTGAAGTGAGGAAAGATTCATTCACATTTTTGTAATGCCAGTCAGAAAAGTCAGTGCTCTGTGTTTAAGCCACTTCTGCAACTTGGTATGTTTTTTCAAAAAGTCAAATATTGCGTTTAAAAAAAACCTCTTTGCATCCTGTTCGATGCAACTGTTGGACCGCATCACGTAATGTCCTTAACTTTTTAATTTGTCACATCACTGTTGACCTATTCAGCCATTACCCTCCCATGATGTTCCTCAACCAAGCTGGAAATTACATTTTGTGTCAATTTTTTCTCAGGAAATGTCAGGTGATGCCACTGGGCAACCTGCAAAATGGAACTTGTTGAGCTCCTACCTGTCAAAAATTGTAAACATTGGTAAGGAAATGTTTGACATTTGACTTTTGAATGAAATGCTTCTTCTACAGTCCCTTCATGGTCTTGTTTCTGCCCCTCAGGAAACAAGACCACAGTGGCATCAGGAATTTCACTGGATGATCTCCTGGAAGGGGTGGATCGCACCAAATACTACCGCTACCTCGGCTCCTTGACCACACCCACCTGCAATGAAGCCGTGGTTTGGACTGTGTTTAAGGACACGATCAAAGTCAGCAAAGATTTGGTAAGTTATTTCTTCTTGTGTCATTAAACAAATACTTCGCCCACAAAGCAATCATTTGTAAATCAAGGACTCAATGCTATCTTGCATTCCTGAAAAGTCTTGAAGAATTGGGTTAAAAACAGCTCTTTTAACATGGATAACATAAAGTAAATCAAAACATCACATTACACAATCTCTTAAAACTCGTGCATTGTGATAAGTCTAATTTTATTAGGTCCTATGTTGACTGATTCCCAACACATGCTTTTTGGTACTCTCCTGTGGATCCAGTAATATTTTGCCGAAACGTGTATATATAGGAATTTGTGAGCATACAACTGAATGAATGACAATTGGGTTACACTGCATGAGTTTTGTGAGAGCTGGCAAATGGTTATTTTGATAACATTATCCCGTTAAATTCAGTCTCCATTTATTTTTGATCCATCAAGGCTTTTCTACAGTTTGTCTTGTAAGATAAACTAAGACTCAGACAATGCTTCCTGTAGCTAACGGGGTTAATGTCTTGTTTTCAGATTGACAAGTTCAGCACAACCGTACACATCGCTGACAACTCATCAGCGCTTATGGTCAATGTCTTCAGAAGCATCCAGCCAGCGCAATCTGTCACAACCCAGTCCTCCTGCTCCACCTCCGGATACTCTCTGGGGCTAATGGCCCTGAGTCTTGTTCTGGGAGGGTTTAGAGCCATTTAAGGCTGTGTCTCAGCACTAAATGGTTTGATGGTAAACCTGTTTGCATGATTTCTTACTTGAGATTGTTTTAATGGCTAATTTTGTAACCTGTTTCACTTTCATGTTGTCCTCATCCAGGTTGATAGACAGTATCAGGCCAGATACTGTCAGCATAGGAGATGTTGCAAAGCTGAACACTCAAAAATGAAACTGGTTCTGCTTGCTTTTAATGAGTGTCATGAGGATTTAGGCATAATTAAAATCATTAATATTTATCACCATTGTATACCTTACATTGTTTAGCTCTGTGTTGCACTACTTGCACATGTGACAAAACTGTTAGCTATTTTAAAATGGTATTTTTTGTAACCTAGTTATTGCTTTGATAGTTGTGGGACAAATGTACATCAAAATGGTTTAAATGAATGTTGGGAAAACCATCCCAGTTGTTGCACTTAGACTCAACTTTAGCAAGAAACTTCAGAGGTCTCTTGAGTGTTCTTATCCTTTTCAAGTTTAACAAACATGAAAGCCCTATTGTTTAAGTATACTATGTTACTTCATAACTCACACTAATGTCGCATTACTTCACTGGTCACATTATCAAAAGACCTGAGCCACTTACAGCTACTCTTATCACAAGGCAATATTGATTCTCCTCTGCAAACTTCCTTGATACACATTGATATGCCTCAAACTAAAGATGAAGACATGTTGTAAATATATTGCATTCCCTGTTAAGGCAGATTATGAAGGTCTTTGAAATAACCAGTGTACAAGTTTTTAATGTCTGTGAAGTAAGAGCTTGAGTATCCTGTTAAAGCAAGAATTTGTCATATTTAAAATAAAGGTATTAAGTAAAGTTCTTGTGTGGTTATCACATTACTCTTAGATTTGGTGCTACTGTAACATCGGGTGATAGTTGTCTCGTCAAGTTATCTGAAAGAAGATGGAAAACAACTGGGGAGCGATCGGCATGCTTCAGTTACCATGAGTCAGGAATGTCACACACCTAACAGACGTAGCGAAATAATTTACAAAGACGCAAACTAATAAGAAATGCTCTTTTTTTTTTTTTATTACACACACCTGCAGATACAGTACATGCCATTACAGCCAATACTCACAACAAAAACCTGAAGATTAGATTAATTTACTGCACAACTTCTGCAAAGTCAAATGAATGGCACATGTCTGCAGATTTTTATAAACATTTACAAGATTAAACATTTTCTTTTTACATTATAGCAATTAAATCAGTGCAAAAATAACTGAAGTTCGACAAAAAACCTTTTCATGTATGATTGTTTAAAACGACTTCCTTGCAGTCATTTTGTAGTTTTTTTAAAAAAAATTTATGACATCTGTCATTTCAGGAACCTTAATTCCCCCACTGACTGATTAATGTTCACTCTGCTTTGAACAGTCACTATAAAATATGATTGCGTTAGAGTCCACATCTCTGTTTGCAGAACTGTTGCAATAACATAGCCAAGCCCACTATCAGCTCAAATGTCTCCATGTAAAGTATATGCACAAGATTTAAGTACTTTTCAGTCTTTTTGTGTGGCCTGTTTTACTGCCCAAACACGGGGTGGATGAGTAAAGCTTAAGGGAGTTTCTATGCTTTGTCCTATATAGGCTCCATGTAATTGAATACTTTCTCATCGAAAAGTAGGGAGTGACATTCTATAGCAGGATGGAGGGAGGAGGCTAAATGTATTGTCATGGGTCAGCTTTATGTTCCTAAGAGGTCGAGTATTTACAATAACTTAGGTCTTATGCTATAGTAGAAGAGAAGACAGAGAAGGACTCAAAAGAAAACATTTGATCTACCGGATGATGGGAATGTGCTGAAACGCATTATCAGGTCTTTCAAGATTACTGTGGTCAATGTTTTAAAGCCAACATTCTTTAATTGTTCCTGCTAAAAAAATAATAAATAATGTAACAGTATTTTTCTGTTTACTGGATGAACTGCACCACTGTTTAAATAGATTTTTGTTATAAGCTTTCATTTACAAAATAACACTTAGGTGTTTCTTATGCAAACTAGATATATTTACAATCAATAAATGGAGATTGTGAGGGTAGACTTGCTGTTTCCCTCAAATTATTGTATACATAGACACCTCAAAATTCACTATAAAAAGCTAGAAGCCTTCTTTATTAGGCCTTAGAAATGCAAACCAACCCTAATATAAGTCCTTTAGGATAAATCGTGGTTCCACAAGCAGCAAATTCATATCAGATATGAACCACCAATGTCATTGATTGGCTTTATGTACCCCAGAAACATTTTTATTTATTGATATAAAAAAGAATTCAGAGGGCTCTATGGAATAGGTTATTCAACATAGGGCGGGTATTCATGTAATCTGAAACCAGCTTGTGGGTTTTAATGTACTGGGAGTGTAAAGAGCCTTTATGTTCCCTTTAATGGAACAAGGGAAGAAGGACAAAAACATCCTGCAGCCACTTGGTATCCAAAAAATGACGTCTCAGCTATCTATTTTCTAACAAATGCTTAAATTATCAATACAGTAGAGATCAGGAGGAGCCAGCTGCTTCTGAGAAAGGATGAGGATCCCTTTAAGTCGCAGCTGCACTCCTTTGGGATGCGAGGAGTGGAGGTTACAGGCGGAGCTGGACATCTGAGCCAGTCCACAGCGATGGATTTAGACATGACGACTTCTTGGTTCAGTCCTCCTTTCTTAAGCACCCAGTAGAGGTTGTCCTTGAAGAAGTAGGCATCTCCTAAAGAGCAGGAGCAGTATGTGTGAATCTCTTTCTTCTATCAGACATTAAAATACAGCATCAGCCTGCATCTAAATCAGCTTTATAGTGGTCAAAAACACTGCAAGGCTGCTTTAAAGAAACAAAATCTTCAGCCTAATTGTAATTAAACTGATAGCCTTTTCTCATTTTCGCTTTGATCGATACTTTTCTAATGTTTTATCACTTCATAACTTCCATACCAGCACCTTAATAAAAGTCCTCTGTGGCTTTATTTATTTATGTATCACTGGTGCCAGAAACTCATCACATATTTATGTTTCTGAACTGTGTTACCTTCTCCCCAGCTGATGATGTCATCCATGTGAGGCGGCACTCCCCCCCAGAGGCTGTTGTTCCGGGGGTAGCCCTGCTCCGGCTGCATGGTCCCCTTTTGGTCCTTGGGACTCTCGTCAAACCTCCAAAACTCCCCGTCGCTGAACAGGTAGGTCTTGCCGTTGTGGGACCAGACGAAGGCTGCGTCCACCCGCTCCACCGCCCCCCCACTCTTAGTCTTCATGCCCCAATCGGAGAGGGGCCTCGGGTAGCCGCTCTGGGCTATAGTGTCCCTGAAGACCCAGTACTGAGGTCCTGGATAGAAGGAGGAAAGATGGTTGGTATGTGTTTAAGAGTCTTGGTTTTAAAGGTCCCCAATTATACTGTTTTTCATCAATATATTATAGGTCTCAGATAAATACAAAACATGTCTCTGAACTGTTTGGCTCCAAACACCAAACAGTTAATTGCAGCATCCCATAAACCCCTCTGTTTCAGCCCTGTTTCAAAAGTGCTGATTCTCTGTCTGTTACAGATGAAAATAAGGAGCCACTCCCCACGCCCTCTGAGGAGATATTTGGTTAAAAAGATCACAAATGGGCTCTAGGAGGAGATTCAGGTGATAAGGTGATAAAGGGGGGGGTGTGACCTTGGTTGGTTATTGGCCAATGGTTACACAAGCCAAAAAAACGTTATGACATCATAAAGTGGACAAAATCTGATCAGCTCATTTTCAGACATGTTTTTAAATAAATGGATCAGGACAAAAAGAGAGCGAATCTTTTTTCCTGAAACTTTCAGAATCTCTTTCCACAGAGGGGACATGTGTTTATGTATAAAAGACGTGAAAAAGTGGATTTTGCATAATAGGTGACCTTTAATATAATTGGTTTATTAAAGATCTGAAGTTCTGAGGTGCAAGAAAGAAACACAATCTGGTATTCTATTTTCTAGGTCAGACATAGTTTGTTTTTGGAACATTATTTTAAGTTACTTTTTTCATATCTTTGAAACAAAAAAATAAACAGTCTTTGTTGTAATTCAGATTCAGGCCACAAGAGGCTGAAGTGCACCACTACCCATTCACACTCCAATTATGCAGAGAATTGCCACTTTCTCTATGGAAGCTAACATTCATACACCTTCACACACCCTTGGCCAAGTTCCTGTTTGTACGGCAGAAATCATGCCAACATTTTTCCCTCGCTTAAAAGAACTTCCTTCAACGTAAGAGCAAATATAGCCGTGGGAATAATCAACCGTGTTCACACCTCTGACTCAATAACACCATTGCCAAAATTAGAATCACTAAAGCCAAACGTAACCACAAGATGTAGTTTCTCACCAATGAAGAAGATGATGCTGCTGTCGCTCTTCCTCTCGTACACGGCGTCCACCTTGTTTGTTCCCGGCGGGAGGCCAATCCAGAAGTTTCTGATCAGAGCCGGATTGAGGGACACCAAAGACCCGTCTCGCTTAGTCCTCCAGAAGCGGTTACCTTTCCAGGAAAGAGAGTAAACACGACACATGTAACTGTATATTCAAACACACTAAATGTACAAAACTAAAACACCTCTCAACCGTGAGTAAGTGTTTCTTGAATCATCAATGTAGACATGATTTGGGAGATTTTGAAGTACATTTCTATGTTGGGAAATTTCTATTTTGTTCATTTGTGATTGTTTCTTCTTACCTTTAAAAAAGAACACCTCTCCCCTGATATTTGCGACTGCGTCAAAGCCTCCCTCACAGCGCTCTTTGAATAAGGGGTCAGAACTGGGACAGAAAAAGTCAAAAACTCCAGTCAAAATATATTTCACAGGATGTAGTTTGGTTTAAAACAAAATACACTAGAGGGTGCAACAGGACCAAACACAGTGAGGATTGATCAGAAAGCTTTTATCTGCATCCCTTGGTTTTTAAGGAATCATCCACGAGTAAACTGACGGGATATTCAAAGCCTAAGTGCTTATTGTTTTGATGATTGTACATTCATTTTCATTGTTTCCTTTGATTTTACTCACGGCCGTGTTGGTCTTGGAGGAGATGGTCTGGGCAGGCGTGGGAGGTCAGGATCAACACCTCCTGGTGGTCCGCCATCACTCACACCTACACCACAACAGTGACAGAAGACAACATTGAAGAGGCGCTGAAGGACTGATGACAGCACCACAAAAATTGTAAAGCAAACCAGGGAAGAAACACACACAGGATGCTTTCGTTTTCAGGCACGGAAGGAAACTGTTGAAATCTGCTTTTTGTGAGTACACCAATGCACACATAACCACACTGATAAACGGTTTTGTCAGATGGCAGTTTATGTCCTCTTGATAGAGGTGTTAATAGACTTCTCTATTCTTTGTGGGCTGTCTTTTCAAGCTACATTCCAAAATCAACATTTATGATCTTTCTTAAATTTGAACTTATAATACAAGCAAAAAGTCATTCAGGGCCACTTCCAAATTCTCGGAGGAAATGACCACAAACCATTAATGTTCTTTTTTACATGGAAAGGAAGCATTTCATACTACACTGAATTAAGTCAACATTCTGGTTCCCGGATGAAACCCCCAAAGGGAACTCAGTAAGGGTTGCAATTAAATGTGTTTGATATAATGATGCCAGAAGATTAGAAGCCTACTGTATACTGACTTTAGAGATCCCCTGACTACCTGCAAAACTAATAACAATCAGCTTCAGCTTTTCTTTGTTTTGTGTGCAGGCAAATGTTTCACAGAAAACAAACCGGTATTAGAGCAGGGAATAAGAGAACACATTTGAAAGGGAAGTCAAAATAATGTGTCAAACTCGAAGTCAAACTTGTGTCATGCATAGGGGAAATGAAATCAAAGATGGATAATAAAAAATGTCAGGAGACGACAGATGACATGTCAAGAATGAAGCTAAAACAACATTTCATGATCAAAGTCAAACTTTTGAGAAAAAAATCTAACGACTAGTGTCAGCACACAATCCAAAATTTCAACTTTTTTCTTCATGAAAAATAAAAATGTAATTTATTGTCCTATTGGCACTTATATTGTCCCATACAAACAGACATGAAACCACCATCAGCGCACACTTTAGGCAGGATTCAACAAATATTACAGACACACGTAAGTCAAACTGGTCACTGACCGTAGATCTGCTGGATGGCCAACTTGTCGTCCATAGCCAGCTGGAAGTTGGCAACGTCTCCCACAGCGCCCTGGTAGTACGGCCTCATGATGGACGGGTCAGAGGACGAGTGGGACAGGCCCAGCGCATGGCCGAATTCGTGCACTGCGACCGTGAACAAGTCTGTGCTGCCGCTGTCACCTGAGAAAGTGTGAAGAAACCATCACTACCTTCATGTAAACCAGGGATTTCCAAACTTTTTTCACGAGGGCCACATACAGAAAATTATACGAAGGCTAGGCCACTAGGGGAGGTATATTTCCTCATAAGTTCAGTTATAAATTGGGTAAATCAATCCAATAAATTATTCTTGATACTTGAGAGTGCGGTAAGAAAAAAACAGCCTCCATCACAGCTCTCCAGAGGGTTTCAATTATTTTGTTAGCAGCTTATTCCTTAAAACCGAAGCCTCAGATTGCTTATAATAAGGGTAAATATGAAGGGTATATTTCAAGCTTGTTAATATTTGTTAGAAGATGTTCCCAACTTTAATTGACTGAATTTGTTTGAAAAGTGGGCTTATTAACACATGAATACTGTGTAACATATTTGAACATATATATTTAATAAGTACAATATAAGACCAGCACAAGTTTCATTTGTGGGCTGTATGACAATTCAAAATGGCCACCGGGCCATAGTTTGGACACCCCTGATGTAAACCAATAGCTCATTATCAGTTTACAGACTGTCATCTAAAAGCTCTTAGCCATAAATCCATTCATGATTTCAGTTAGTAAATACCTCGATAGCTCCAGATCTCATCATCATCGAAGTGTGTGTCACCCGCCACTACATCCCTGCCGGGGAAGAAGGCGTGGGCCAGGGTGCCACCCTGCCCGTCAAAAGGGTACCCGTCGTCGTGGAGCATGCGGGCAAAAGTCACTCTGATGTCCCCTTCAGTCGCCACCCCCTCTCTGTCACTCTGCAGCTGACGGAAGTTCAGGGGGGCCGCGTCGCTCCAGGCTTTGAAGGCTCGAGTCAGGAGGCTGTCGACCAGACGTCCCGAGTCACCCGACAGGCCGGGTGAGCGGGAGGGCGACGGGTAGCTGTGGACACTGCAGACCAGAGGACATTTTGTATTGGAGCAAATATGGAGTGTGTTATTTTTTTACTTTAACTTAGTATAGTTTGTGAGATTTTAGTTTTGCCCCTTTAATTTGTGTTCAAAGTTTATTGTAGCTGTTACAATTTCATTCTTTTACTGCTTCACAAAAAGTAAAAAAATACAATTTTCATAATTATTGATGTCTGTATATATGTTAACGGTTTCCATGATTATATTGTGGGTTTTTTTATTATATAATGTTACTTTAATACCTCATTTAGTTCATTCTTGTGTTAGCTCTTTGTCTTTGTGTTTTAATCTTATTTATTTTTGATGCTTTTACACTTAAATGGACATCAAAATGTCCATGGATATACATGGTTTGTGATAGTTTTGTTTTTCCCTTTTAATTTGTTTTCAAAGTTTATTGTAGGTGAGTATTTCAGAGAATTACAATTTCATTCTTTTACTGCTTCACAAAAAGTAAAAAAATAAAATGTTCTGGCAATTTTGATAATTATTGATGTCTGTATATATGTTAACAGTTTCCATGATTAAATTGTGGCTGTTTTATTATATAAAATTATTTATTTATTTAATTCTTGTTATCCTTCTGTTAGTTCTTTGTCTTTGTGTTTCAATCATATTTATTTTTGCTGCTTTTGAGCCTGAATCTCCCTATGGGATCAATAAAGGTGTATCTTATTTGATCGGGTTGTCCATCTGTACAACCGTCCCATTCTTTTGAACACGATATCTCAACAACACCTAGGGGATTTCTTCAAATTTGACACAAGAGGATGAACTCATAAGAATGTCAAGGACAAAAGTCAAGGTCACTGTGCCTTTACAAAACACGTTTTTGGCCTTAAGTCAGGAATGTATTCGCTGAGCTGTTTAACCAGACATGTATGTAGGCTACACTGCTGGTACACTGGATGACTCTTGCTGTAAACACATCCAATATAAAGACCAAAACAAACAAACTACTGTCTTTGTAGCTACAACCCTAAAACAGCTATCAGCACATCAGTCAGCTGAACTCTTGAGCCTGGTGGTATGTTACTTTTGTTTTCATTAACGTGAACACTGTAGTTCATTTCTAATCCTCCCTTAAAAAGAACGTCCTGTTGCTGTAAACTTTTTACTCAACTGAAATAAGTCTCCACTTTAGACTGAATTAAAGGGCCCAGCTGTTTTAGGAAATTACCAAACAAAAAATGTTACATCTTAAGTAGAAACCAATTGACTTGAAGAAGGAAAGTCTGAGAGCATTTAGGGATGGACTTAATGGCATTTTTTAAACACCACAGTAAACTAGAGAATAACCCCAGCCTTGTATATAAATCCTTTGTATGGACCTTTTGTATCACATTGTGTTTCTTTACGTTTTTATTTATCTTTGCCTTTTATGTTAAAAACCAATCAATAAGTTTGTGAGACAGTAAACAGTAGTCTACACTTTCCCAAAAGCCTTCCTTCCTCAACGGACATAACTTAAATCCTAACATAGTGGGCTTTAAAACCAAACAACATTTGGTATGATTTAAATTTGGTTTGGCATCCATAATGACGGCTGTAACCTTTTTTTTAGAAATATGAAAATAATTCTAATGCAATAGTGTGTGTGAGTGTGACACATAGCTCTATGACTCAGAGGGATGGTGTAAAGCCACCATAATAACATGACAGGAAACACACCTCCATGTGAGGTCTGTCTTGTGCCACTTAAGGCCTGACAGCGCGTATCTTTTCCGCCTCCTCCTCAGCCTGTCCTCATTACCAATGATATCAGGAAGAGAGCATCGAGGCGTAGACATGAGTTTAAGTGTTTCATTGTCTGGAAGAGAAGTTGATCACATATTGCTGAAACTCAAGAATACAGGAAGTTTGAGACCTCATGTGACATCATATCTGTGAAATCTCATATGCATGATATGTTGTGTTTATAGATTTGTGGTGAGGCGTTGTTACCGAGCACCCCAGTTTCCTGGACCCCGCCGAATCTCTGCATGACACGAATGGCTTTCTCCAGCCCCTCTTTGGTCTGCATTCTACTTGTGCGAGGGTCCGGAGGAGGAAGGTAGCCATACCTGCTCAACCAATCCTGCACAGAAAACAAGAAACCAGAGGAAATGTGGCAATCTGTGTTTTCTCATGAAGCACAGGATGATGTAGCATGAAAACAACACGGTATATTTCTTAGTTATTGCACCCCACACCTAAGTATAGCAACAATATCGTTCAGTTTAGTTTCCTACATGACTTCAAGATAGCTGGCAAAAGCTGATGTCATAGAGGGTATTTGTTCCTCAGACCCAGCACAAAGCAGTGTGCCAGCCTTTTTTTTCTCATTAATATGATATAGCCCTGTCTGTTGAGTGAGTTGCTTGAATGTATAAAGGAAGCCTATAATGTTCACAAGGCAAGTTGTATGAGAACGGTCTGCAGGTGAAATAAAATGATGAATCTGGTGTGATTTTTTTTTAATTGTAAGCATGTATCTCCATCAGAGACGTAATATGTCTTGTGAAAGTGATTCTGAAACCTACCCTTCTTCCTGCCTTGCCTCCACCCTTTTACCGTTGCAGTTTAAAGGAAAAGGTGTTGGCCAATTCATCAACAGTTGTTTTCAGTGGGTTTTACACTGCAAAAAGTGTCCTCCTCAAGTACCATGTACTAGATCAGGGGTTTGCAACCTTTTGGACCAAAAGAGCCATTTTGTCCCCTTTTCCACCAATGTTTTTTGTCTGGAGCCGCAAAACATATTTGATAGCTTGATAGCTTATAAAGTTGTATATATTGTTACATCAAAGACAAAAACTACAGTTTTTTTTGCATTTATTATTTATTACATTAAAGAAAACTGTGTACCTCTAATAATAAACAAAGAACTCTTATAAGGAGAATTAAAAAAAATACACAGGCCTACTTAAAAATAAATCAACACAGCACTTGGGGAGTCCTCTGCACATTTGAAGAAAATGAATTAAAATGGGCCCACTTTGAAATAAATAAAACATATAGCTGCACCCTAAAAAGAGTTAACTGATTGAATTATGACTGAAGATCGTCAGCTCTTCCGTATTTGTCCTCCAATACGTAAAGGCTGCAGCACCTTTGGCAACTTCTCTCCACATATCAAACATACCGGTAAGCCAGCATCGTTTGCTGTGAAAGCATATAACTCTAACCACGCTGAATTAAACCCTCTGTGTTCCTCCGATACTTTTATTTTCTTTGATTTATCCATAGTTCGCTCATCGAGCCGGGGGTCAGGTTATTCAATTAAAACCGTTTTTAGGTGGTTAGGTCGTTTTAACAAGCTATATGGTTTCACTAGTACGACTTTTGCCCTCCATTCGATGCTCATGCTTCTGCAACCCTTAAAAACAGCAGCATCATACAGGATGCAACCTGGAAATATGTTTAAGTCACAGAAGTGAAACTTTGTTCACACCATGCACACACTGACGTTTTTTCTTGTAGTCGGCCAAATAAGCAGAATTCATGTTGTTTTTGAGGAAGTTTCAACAGAGCTGGACATAGGAAGACCTCTTTTTTTGTAAATGAGTTGTCCTTTATTCTTTGAAATATTGTGCAACTGTATTTTCTTGCATTAAAATGTTCATACATCAGAGAAACATGAAAGCCGGGGTTGCACAAGGGAGCTGTTTAGGTCCATTACTATTTTCTCTCTATATTGTACCGCTCGGCGACATCATCAGAGAGTATGGTATACATTTCCACAGCTATGCGGATGATACACAATTGTACATATCCGCTGAACCAAATGATGCGACAGCCATAAACTCCATTACCAACTGCCTGACAGCAATAAACAAATGGAAGAATGATAACTTTCTTAAATTGAATGAGGACAAAACTGAAGTCCTACTTGTTGGCCCCAAATCAAAAAGAGAGATGCTAACAAATAATCTAGGAAGCTTAACTACTTGGATTAAACCACAGGTGACAAATCTCGGTGTCATCCTGGACTCAGAGTTGAACTTCAATGCCCATTTAAACAAAGTGACCAAAATAGCTTTCTTTCATCTCAGAAACATACGACCATTCATAAATCAAAAATGATGCAGAGAAGCTGATTCATGATTTTATATTTAGCCGACTAGACTACTGCAATGCACTATTCACTGGTCTCCCCAAGAAAGCTATTGGAAGACTCCAACTCATTCAAAACTCTGCAGCTAGACTACTAACGAATACCAAAAGGAGGGAACACATTAGTCCTGTCTTAGCTACTCTGGTTTCCTGTAACTTTTAGAATTGATTTTAAGGTGCTTCTCCTCAGATACAAAGCTCTAAATGGACAAGGACCCAGCTACATTGCTGACTCTCTAATAAACCCGCCAGAACACTGCGATCACCAGATGCAGGTCTATTAGAGGTCACCAGAAAGAGTCATAAGAAGATCGGTGATGCAGCCTTTGTATACGCCCCAAAACTGTGGAACACGTTACCCAACAATATTAGGGAAGCCAATACGCTAGACATTTTTAATCTCTTTACCAAAGCATTTTACTGACTTTACACTATTATGCATTATTTCTCTATGTTTTATTCCCCATGTTTTTATGTTTAATTATTTAATCCCACGTTATGCTTTGCTCTTGCTGCTTGTTTTACACTGATTTTATGTCTTATTTCTTACTGATGTAAAGCACTTTGAACTGCAATCCCCTGTATGAAAGGTGCTATACAAATAAAGTTATTATTATTATTATTCTCGTAAAATTGTGAAATAATGATCACTTAAGCTTCAGGTTAAGATATTTCTTCCAGACCTACATTTTTTCTTATCAAATAAAATGGAATAATAACAAAATACTAATCTGATGCTTTTCCTTTATGTGTTTTAATAACCTCTGAGGAGTCATATGGATTTTGCCTTATGTTCACCAGCCACTAGCCTCTTTGCATAAGTCATTTTATATTTATGACTTCCTGCTTCTCATATAGAGATGAATATGTGTATTATAGAAAGATATGCCTGACATGAAAGCTGCAAATGGTGTAAACTAATCCACAATTGGTATGTAAATAATAGTTTTTAAAATGACATGATTTCAAAAAATAATAATGCTTTTTTGGCACACAAATAATATAATCTGCAAAGTGAAACAATGACCAATCACACATAATAATTACCCTGAGAAAAAAAAAAGCCTATGATATAGAAATATATATGTTCCTCTAATAGTGATAGTAAATATAACCTCCAATCCCAAAACAATAATGATCATCCTCGCTCAAAATACAAAGTTTTAAAACAGTTTAATGTGTGTAATTCACTCACCACTGCTCTGTACTGCTCCAGGACAGCTGATGTGATTCCCGTTAGGGTCGACATCATCCACAGCAGAAGACCCAACTCCATTCCGGTCACTGCGAAAACACGCTCCATTATTATCAAAACAAGTTGGTGTAAACAGAGGACACATTTCTCCTCTATAACTGACCCAGTTTCATCCAAATCCAAACCATAACAAAAGCGTGTGGGCACTGAAGCAAACCTCACCGTGTTTCTTCTCCTCAGTCTCTCTGGGGACTAGGCAGGGCGCATCGATTAGAAACTCTCTCAGCCGCGAGGCGTTAACCGAGGCTCTCATATCCGCCCACCACGCGCATCATACAGATGTTTGGCACGTGTTGCCTCAGGTACAGGTGAGAAGATGCGATCATTATGTACTTCTCCATCTGTAATACTTTTCAATGTCCAAATAATAATACATTTTGACAGAATTTGGCCTGATTCCACTTGAACACTGCAGTGTGTAACAGGCCCAGTTCCACTCATGTCAGATCATCATGCGTTTTTAAGCTTCTGTTATGAAACCTTGAATCTGAAATGTGATACTTCCCTATTTTGAACATCTGTCTGATCTTTTTAGACCTTGGATTTAATTACTGGCCCTTTTTAATTGTTCTTTTTAGTTTTGGTCCAACACGACAGAACAGTGTTGAGACTATAGGAAACACAATGTTGGAACCCTGAAAAATACCAAAGGACCGACAAAGAAAGCAAGGTGTGAGGTACAGAACATGACATGATTCATATACCAAGAATATCTGTTAAGATATGGCAAACAAGTTTATGTCAATAGGATGGGTTAAATGCAGAATCATTTTAACAAAAGAGGATTTGAGGATTTTTCAAAATACTAGATGTGTATAATTGTGCATGAAGAAGCTTAGGTCAGACAATATTAAAATGAAATCATATTAAATGTATAATTTGAAGATGCGAGGAAAAATAATAGGCCCAAATTAGCTTGTACCAAACATTGGTGTTTGAATTCCATGTATAACTAACTTTAAATAAATAATAAATAAATAAATAAAATCATGTTTTAAAATATTTTTTGAAATAGTCATCGTTGCAAAAATGTATATTTAATTGCATAAATATTTTTACTTTCGATGTAGGAATGAAAATAAATGTGTGTACAACAATATCACTCCTCTTTTGAAAACAATTGGTTTGGTATGAAGCATGCAAGACATTAATGTCGTTTTCATTTTCAACTATGTTTCCTGTGTTATACCACAGTGAGTACTTAAAATACATTTGGTGGAAATTCATGACGCTGTATTAGACTGGAGTGCACCGGCATCTCACATCTCATGTTGGACTCCCATTGTGTTCATGCATACCAGTTCTCTCTGCAGAGCACCACTGGTATCATCTTTCTCTCCCCCTCCCCCCTTCCTCTTCTCCCATCTTTAAATTCTGTCCATCCTCCAGGGCCCAAGTGAGCCATACCATTAGAACAAATGCTGCGCTGCTAATGGTTGACCAGCTGCCGCCACGTCCACTGCACGATTATACTATTGACTCTTTAAAGGGATGTGGGTAATGTTTTAAGTGTTGGATAATCTCACTTCTCCACACTGACCCTCAGGTGTCCAGCATTTCTAAACCTATAAAAAGTACTTTTGTAAGCTTTAATCATAATGACTAATATAATATTCTTTCTAATATCTTTATCCTGAACAAATAACATGTTAACCCAGTAATGACTGTTTTTGGCCACTTGGGGGCAGCAGAAAACAAGTTGTATAAGCAACACTGACATAAAATATCCTTTTTCGATAAGTTATCAAAACCAAATTATTTGTCACATTATATTAAATGTACCTATTTATATACATGATTAATGGTGATGAGAAAATAAGAAGCTCAAATACCAAACATCACAATGTTTAAATCTTGAACCACACACGAGAAATAAGGACCTTTCATTACACACAGTTTTATTTTCATTAAAGGGATCCAAGGCCTTCACAAAAGGGTTGACTCTTGGTAGCTATACAGAACTAACACAACACACAACGACAACAGAAACAACACAGAGGACTTGTGTGAACGAGTGAAAAGACAAATAAATAAGAGTTAAAAGTAGACATTTCATATGAGATTTAAACTGAGATGCATCAACAAAACCAATAGTCAGAGGAAAGTGAGCAGAGGTTAAAACTCTGCAATGTACAGTAACGCTTTTTTACAATACTCGATTTATTTCTGCAAGTAGCTGATTGTCTATAGCGGCTTATTTTTGGTCATGCACAGTTAACAATGTCATAGCGATTGTATTGACAGTGTTGCATTAATATCACAGTTTTCATATTATTTTTTTGTAATCTCCTCTACCTCCAGCGTTGATTGTCAGTCTCTGCAGTGTTTTCATTTGGTGGTTTGAAGGCAGCCTCTTTCTGATTGCTTTGCAATGATGCTTGATTGTCACTGGCTAATGGATATGGGTCATAAGTGATGTACTAAAAAGTCCCTGCCACTTACGTACAAGTCACTGCTAAATATGTAATGGAATTGCTTGTTTCTTTTAGATACATCTGACGTAAAGTCCTAATATATATACTGTTTATATAAAACAAGAGAAAACCTAATTGCTGTACTGTATTTTTGGCAAAGTCATCTGTGACGCGTATCCAGCCTTGTATCAGTCGATATTTGATCAAATAATGATGCTGTTTCTGTGCTTTTGAGGATGATTTGAATCCAAGACATGCTACATTCCTCCCTCCAATAACATCTGACAATATTCCACAGTTATCTGTACAAAAATATGCAGTTTCAGTCTTAGTGTAATGTAGCTGGCAGGGTAGGCGGGATGTCTTTTTTTGTAATGTTTAAGTTTCAGTAAAAGTGATTGCCATAAGCAAGTCTAAAATCTTCACAGTAGCCTCACATAGCTTATGCTTAGGGAACAAGCTGCTATCACAATGTCATTGAGCTGCTCAAAAAACAACAAACTGTGGTTACACTTCACAATACAGACATCTGCTGGCATTTACTTAGTACCATTGAATCACCTATTAGAAGCATTTCTGCTTGGTAGAGGTAAAATCATAACCCTTTCACTTGCTCAATGTAAGAGCAAAAACCCTTCTTTTTTTAGCTATATTTGGAGATATTTAAGTTTATCTTAATGGGCTGAGAGCTGGTAATGTTAGGTCGCCGACTACGGATAAAAGTGGTTTAAAGGTAAGTAACAAAATAGTCAATTTTCAGAGCTTTCAACCACAAATCACAGTCAGGGGCGCTGCCAGGGATTTTGGGCCCCATGCAAAGATATCACATTGGTTACTTTTTTTTTCCTTAATTTTCTAAAATAGTTTGGGCCCCTGTCAGTCATGGGCCCTTAGAATCGTCCTCACTTTTCACCCCCCTGCTCACAGTATTAAGAGGACAGACTAGTTTTCAGTCGTATATCCTTTGGGGAAAATACAGTAATGCCTTTTTTTCTTATTTTTTTAGCTCATGAAACTCCAATTTAAGCCAGAATATTCTACACAATAAAATATGTTAAAAAAGATGTTATTCTCAACTATCAGGTAATAAAAAGCACTGTTGCACCTCCACAGATAGTGTAACCTCAACCCTTTTATAAACCTCATCCTAATCCTGGCTCAATTATAATCCAAACACACCTATTTCTAATCCTGATCACAGCCCTACCATCAACTTACTATCCAAACAACCTGATAATACTAAGCAGATACCAGAATGACCAGAGTACTGTAAAGTGCAACCAAAGCTGCCCTTGACTGAATTTGTAAACATATAATGCATTTCAGGCTCTGCAACTCATCATATATTTCAGTCCTGTGCATCCTTATAACCTGTGTGTCCCCCATATTGTTTTCTTGACACTTTTTTTTGTTACATGCCCGTTTTTTCGATCGTTCTTCTTTCGTTTGCCGGCTGGCAGCGATTGTCTGTAGTTCACTGTAACCTGGCCCAGTACTGACCCAGGTTGTGACTCATGGTCTGCTGGTCGGCTCCTGGGACCTGGACCGGTACTGAAACGCCGGGCGATATGAGCCCTGGATGGAGAACAGAAGGAGATTTATATATTGTGAATTTCAGTAGGTGAGATATCAGAATCAGAATCAGAATACCCTCATTAGTCCCACAGAGGGGAAATGTACATTGTTACTCGGGTTGCAAAGGTGCGGAAAGTTTCCGGTAAATTTCCGGAAAGTTTCCATGGGAAGTTAAGCTGGGGAATTTTGGAAATATTCGATGCAAAATTAAACAAAAAAACATGACATAACAGATTTAAAAAATATATATATATTTTTTAAAGTAGAACCGAACAAGTTTTAATTATTTTATTGAACAATTATTTGTTTAATTGAAGAACGAAAACAGGAATGTTGAGTTAAATATTACTCATCCCCCCCAACCCCACTCATTAAAAAATGAACAAAAATGCACCCCCCATCCAAAAATCCCTACAAAGTCCCATTCAAAATGTTAAATGAAAAGAGCCCTTCTCCCTCCAAAAAGTCCCATTAAACACGCAAATCTTCCTTCAAGCAATCCTCTGCATTTTTGCTAAACCCTTTCAGTCAACGGGCTCTTCCTGGGCCTCATCAACATCCAACTCTGAGTCTTGCTCTTCAGTATCACTGTCCAGCCTTGTTGAGGATGGCTCTGTGTCAGGCTCAAAGAGCCTTAGGTTTGCCCGAATGCCAACCAGTTTTTCCACTCTCACATTTGTGAGCCTGTTGCGAACCTTTGTGTGGTCTCAATAGCCATGCAGTAAGCAGTGTGCTATGGCATAGATATTCAAGTGTACTTGAATGGCATCTGTTCGTTTTAGTCAAGATTATGCTAAAATATACTTTCCCCAACTATATTTAAGTTCCCTATGAAGAGCCATCCTTCAATTTTGAAAATTCCCAGTTTATTCCCATAAATTCCCGTTTATTCCCGTGGAAAGTTTCCATCTTTGAAATTTCCCGGAGTTTTGCAACCCTAATTGTTACAGCAAAAAAAGGGCCAAAGACAGCTTAATGTTACCTAAGAAGCATGCATAAAAAATTACACATTTTATTATTACAAAAAGGTTACACAATTTATAAAATACACATCCTTTAACAGTTCTGGGATTTAGCAGCCAGGTATATATTGCACAGTTATTAACGGCGTATATATACATATATATACATATATATATATATATGTATATATATATATATATATTGCACATATTGCACATAGTTGGTTGGTATTAAACAACAAGGGGTGTTGTAGATATTATAGTTGTATAGATATATCTCTATGCACCTGTTAAATGAACCCATATCTTCCCCAGAAACACTCACCGGTGTTGGAGTTGGCTGAGGATGGAGTCTGCAGATGAGGGGAGGAATACGCAGAGGAGTCAAAGCTGCGCGGGGTAGAGGGGGACGGAGGCAACATGCAGGAATAAGAGGAGGCCGACTGGGGAGGAATAGACTGAGAGAGGGGAAGAGAAGGAAGGGAAAGATGTAGGTTAGATTTATAATAAAACAGCAAACTATATAATCTGAGAGAACCAATTTCTAAATGTGTCTAAAGGCAGTTTAAAGCATTGACTGCATTGTCTATGGTTGACCACATGGAGGCGCTAGAGTGGTGTTGCATGGTAGGAGAATAGCAGCGGCTCATATTCTTTTTTTCGTTTAACTACAATGATTTTAAAATGATTTAACTCTTATGTTCTGCTCTTTGTTTCTACATCAATACGGTGTCATTTTAAACTATTTAAAGTAATTGTGTATAGACCCAATTATACACATACCTATTAATTATAATAATAGGTATTCATCAAAAATTCAGAATTACTGAACAAGAGACTCACTAATTAGCCCGATCACTGGAAAATATGATTTAATGCACACATTTTAAGTCATATTTTCCGTCAAATGTATCAGTTTTTTTTAATTAGTTTGACATCTGTGCAGGACATTTAAAAAAAAAAAGGAAGTAGAGGGTCGAACATGTGTTTTAAAATGTATAATTAATGAGAAAGAAATATGTCTATAAGGCCATACTTGTGGGATGATAAATACTGTGATGTTTGAATATGTCCAAAGCTTTTTTTTATTTCTGTTTTTCGAAATGTATTTTGCAATTGATGATCCCAAAACCCCAATATCTTTAGACCCCTCTGAGTTTTGGTCTATATCAAACACTGAAGCTTTAAAAAATAGCTTAAGGCTTTGAGATATCTATTTGATAAAATGAAATGGATGAAGAGAGTTTTACAAAGGCAATTTACCAACAGGAAGTCCTCTTATTTTCAATCTTAGAGAGTACTGGGAGAGGCTAAAAATGCTATATTAATGCTACAACTACAGTACGGGAGCGCAGAATATTTGAGAGATTGTTTTTGATTGTATAGCCACTTTTAAATCAATATTATTTTGAAAATCACTGTATACTTCACATAGTTCAAGGGTTCCACTTTGCACGTTTAGGTAATGTTGTACTATTATCAAAATTATAACAACATATTTTTTTAAATAAGTAAAAATGATGGTATCATTTACATTAGAAGTGGTCGTTGTAAAATAAGTAATATTTATGAGTTACGTTTTAATGCCATTATTGTATGTATTATAAAATGAGTTAATAATGGGGATCTGCTCTGTGACGATGCCCTGCTTTCGTAAAGTTTGTAAGGCGCTGATGATGAATGATGAATGATGAAATGTCCAACCTGGACTCCAGATGAGAAAACTGACAAGGAGCTGTAGCTGGGCAGGGACGACTCAGCCTGACTCAACATGGACCCTGGAGAGAGACACACACAGCGAGATGGTGAGCACACACACACACTCACACACACACACACACATTCACGAGCATGTGACGGGAACATCTTGCAGTGGAAATATAGATGCGCTCTAATGGAGAAACTCTAATGGTTTGCCTGCCTGCAAATGTCACTCTGATCTTTGTTATTAAGTCACACTGAACAAATGTGAAGTCTTGTTTTGAATGTAACTGATAACTGTAATTATGACTTGAAATAGAGGGTGGTCTTGCAGGTGTTTACCTGAGCTGCTGCCGTGCTGCTGATGATGATAGACAGACGTGTTGAAGGAAGTGGTCAGAGGGGCTTGGCTCTGTGAACAGGAAGTCACACCCCCTGACCTCCTTTGATTACGGAGCTTCTCCTCCCTCCTCCACTTAGCTCTTCGGTTTGAGAACCACACCTGTCAATCAAAGAGGTTTCTTAATCGTGAAAATCTACATGTATTAACAGGTTGTGATTCAGAGGAATAACAATCCACTCTCACCTGTATCCTAGCCTCGGGTAGATCAATCTTGTTTGCCAATCTCTCCCTCGCAAAGACATCTGGGTAATGTGTCCTTTCAAACTCTGTGGAAGATATTAACTAATGTCAAGCACACAGTGTGAGTCCTAATGGAAGATGACAGGATAACTGTGGAGCATCTCGCCGTTCAGTGTTAACATGTTTTTTAAATTCATATGTTGATTTTAAAAGAAAGCACCAGCCTTCAAAGATTTAATCAGCTATTATTTACTAGATTTTCGCCACATAACACATAAAGAAATTAGTGCTTAAGATCAGTGTCGCTAATTATCTTGTCGTGGAATACACAAATCCAGGAAGCTAAGATGTATCCTTACAACCATATTTTAAATATTTATCTGTTGCACTTTGTATAAATTATTTATCCTTATGCAACACGCAGAAAGTTCAAATGAAGGATCCAAGTTGAGAAGCTGCCTAAGCACTTTATTTCAGAGTAGGTGGACTAAAATTAGGCTCAAGATCTGTATGCATTATCATTTTGTTATAATTTACTCTCTAAATGCGGTGTTGTTTCTCATCAGAAGAAGCATTGTATGTTATTATCTTGTATTCTGAGTGACCGAATAAAACAGACAAAGGGGCTTTAGGAGAGTCAATTCCTGACTCTGCTGTTGTTTAAACAACAAGAGTTCGTATCATTGAGACTTTCTGTATCAGAGGATCATTTCTCAATGTGGCATTTCATTTAAAGTTGACAAACTGCTGACATTTTTGCTGTTGACAAGTCGAGACGAGAATATGCCTCAGCCTCCAACTGACAGTCTGAGTCACCCTAATCAACTGTGAAGCTTCAGGTCTGCTAATGGAGACGTCTTTAGAGATCTTACTGTCTGCACTTGTGATGCTTAACATTAGCTAAGCATGTCGAATAAATGCCAACGGAGAAAACAAATCAGATTAGTTAAATCTGAAAAAGGCACTTTAAAAAAAAAATGTATTGCTAAAACTATAATTTACACAAATGTTGTAATTAAAGGTGGGGTAGGTAAGTTTGAGAAACCGGCTCGAGATACACTTTTTGTTATATTCCATGGAATGCTCTTAACATCCCGATAGCAATGAATATCTAAAGTGCTTTGACCAAAAATATACTAAAACATTTCATCTGTGGAAGCCGTAGTACTGTAAAAAGCACGACCAATCATTTTAGCCGGCCCGGCTAAAATAACTGGATGGCCTACCTGCCTGTCAGCCTTCCATCTGTGCATAAACTTATCTCGTGCCCTCATTGGTCATGTGCGCATTCGTGTGTGTTGGAGGAGGGGCTCTGTAAGGAAGTGGCCGATTTTTTCCGGCTGTGTATTTTGAAATTCTAGTGCACTCGAGCTGGTTTCTCCAAAATTACCTACCCCACCTTTAAAGGGTTTATACAGCTTAAGGCAAGTTAGATTTAAGACTTATTCAAAGCCACTTCGAGTACATTTCAGACCTACTTTTCAATACAAAAATAAAAA